GCTTTTGAAAAAAGACTGTGCGTTGAATTTTTTTCGTCTGTTTCCACAGAATATGGCCTACTTATTCTTATTCTGTGACTGTTTCCTCATTGATGTCGAAGTTGCTCGCTGTGATAAAATTATCATTTTTTATTTGACAAATTTTTGTGAAATGTAGGTAGACACCCTTAGCAGAACATGTAATATTGACGTTTACTGTACTTGTTATGCCACTGTCGGAGAACATTTTCTGACCCGAAAGACCAATTTGCAAATGAGTGTAACTTTTGTTTGAAAAATGACCTTAAAAAAACTGTTCAATAATTTTGTTCCGTAAGTATGTACCTAGACAACAAACTTCGTGGAATTTTGTCAATTTTCGTTGTCCGCCAAGAATTGCAGTGGAATTATTTTTTTCGAATTTTCAAAAACTAATTTCAGATTCAAAAACCACCAGATACCAAATTTCGTCGAAATCAACATTTTTTCGCACCCCTATTGAGGGGTGTGTCCTTTTGCGGTAGGAATTTTGAAAAAATATTTGCAAAACCGGAAAGGGCATACAGCAAAACCTATTCAAAGACTCACCACCAGTCTCTGTAACTGTTGCTGAGAAAAAAAGAAACTTTACCACTTTTTTGAGGGTGGCTCCTAAACGAATACATGGATTTTTTTTTGGTGTTTGGATCCATCGCTCCTCGAAATGGGGGTTGAAATATATTGTGTGATCAAAACTCTCTAAACCTTCCTCATATAGTTTTTATTCGTTGAAGTTTTTAAAAATAAAAGCGACTATAGTTTCGGCGTACTGCCATCATCAGGCGATGTGAAATTTAACAGGAAAACGGTAAGTTACAAACGTTCAAGACGAATAAGATGAACATGTTGTTTTTTAATTATTAACTGGCCGAAGCCAAGTGAAAAAACCTGAAGGGTGGTTAAACCGGAAAGGTTGTCCTAAGTTTCAAAACGAATTATTATCAAGCCTTGTTAAGAGTTAAGACAACCAACCGGAGGGTTGAATTATTACATTAAAAGTTGACAGTTGAATTTAACACATTTCAAAAGAACCGGGGGGAAAAATAAACTCATAAAAGTTTTGAAACTATTGAGATGACTACATATTTAAATTATTTAAGTTAAGTTTAAATTCGAGATCATGCAGACGGCATGTCTAGAAATGATTGACCACCAGGTTTACCTATCACTATAGATAACGACCAGATAACTGACTTTAACAGCCTAAGTACCTGCTGATAATCCTCCTAAGTAAGTTCCGGTATCTACCATTCAATATAATATACCTATGCCGTTTTTGAATTCTCCCCCAGCGAGCTACAATACCATCCTAACCATCGTCTAGTGAAATCAAAAAACAAGCCTGAATCTTTGGGACAAAATCATACCGTTGTTACTGCTGATCTTGCAATATACAGCACAGCACAAGAGATACCTGATGTGGAGTAACCCCCAAAATTTACAGGGAAAGGTAGCTATTTGTACCTATATATTTCACCAAAGAACTGAGATACATGGAGTTAGGTAATGAATTGTTTGAGATTTTACAATGCAACTCGGCGGAATGCATTTGTAAACTAAACGGCCTAAATAGCTAGTTTTGGTATTCGGAGAGAAATTTCTTAGTAAAGTAAAATCCCTTACGCATCGTTCCTTGTTTAGCGAACGCTGCTGACTATCCTTCCCTCTCCGTCTCACTCGCGATTACCGACTCGGCGAGGTCGGTAGGTTTTTACTTAAATGACCGTAACTTTTTTATTATGACAATTCAACTCATGTATAAAAAATCGCATAAGCCGCAGTGCAATTGTCACTTTGACAGCGGCAAAAGTTACCTGCAACTTTTCCAGCGACAAATGCACTAGTGGTTTTTTCACTTTTCATTTTGGAACAATTATCGCATTATCCTTTCCCATATGATTAGCTTGACGTCTGTCAATAATTGACTAGTTTGGTGAATTTCTTGTTAGTTAAATTGTCCTGCCGAATTACACTCGAGGTTTATATTTAAACCGAGTAAATTTGGGTTGTTGCAATTCAAATCTGTTTCCTTTTAGCAATTGAACTCGAAAAACTGTCAAACTAAAAATGCTCCACCTTCGGTGTCGCATTTTTATTAGTTGACAGTTTTTCTCGTCTAATTGCTAGGCAACAGATTTTCATTACCTTAACAACCCAAATTTACTCGGTAAAATTCAAACCTCTTGTGCAATTATAAGTGAAAAATTCACGGTAATGTTATAGAAAATAAAATAATCACAATGCTTTGGAGCATCGAATGAGCTATTAATATTGGAAATCGATATCGTGAAATAAAAAGTTATGAGAGTTCAAAGTGCGCACTTTTCATCTGCTACACGAATTTTGGAAGTTGACGGTCATTTTTCTAAAAACTGTGCATAACAAGGTAGGTAAATTGAATGCTTTAGATTCTGATATAAATGTACTTTCATTTTACAAAAGGAATTATTGATGTATATCGCTTAGTTGCTGAGAAAATAAATACTTTCGGTGGTCTACTCGCGCGCGCGAAAATGAGTAAATTTCAACTTTAGCGGCCTATAACTTTTGTCAGGACCACGGGAAAATGTCGTAAGGCGAGATTCTGAAGGTTCAAACATTTCTGAACAAAATGGTGTGGGTTCCAATTCTTTCTACTCCGAAAAAAAAAACTACCTCAAATAAGCGAGTTAGCGCCGGCTCTCCGCTGCACTAGTACCTCTGTATTAAAACCAAATTGGTCGAGTATATTAAATATGTCAAAAACTGCGTGCGCGCAGGCGCAGAAGTGAGTTTCAAGGAGTTTAGATGTGAATATCTCGAAAATTTGAGTCGGAAAATAATAGATGTCAACAAAGCGCATTCATCGGCGGGGTTAAACTCAACTTACAAATGATACATATTGATACTATATACAGGGTGTATCTTTTCGAGCTATAAAACTCTTCACTGCGTGATTCCACATTATTTTCATCTAGAGGAAAATGTTTATTAGACTTTTTTACTAAAAAATAATGCGGAATCACGTGGTGAACAGTTTTATCGCTCGAAAAGATACACCCTGTATAATAATAATGTAATAATGTATATTTTGCCCAACAGATGTTGTATAGTGTTAAGTTTGTCTCGTAGATGAACCCTATTAATTTGGGGCACAGAATCCAGAGATCCATGAGTGCGGAAAAGTATATTTTAGGCGATACAACGGTTGAGTGATTTCCCTTAAAATGCGAGTAGGGAACAGTGGTAACACTGACTGATGCTCTCTGTTCACTTTGCGGCTGTATTTCCACTTATCGCCAACATTTTCACCTCTATTCGTGACCTTTCCATTGCATTTCAAACAAATTTGTACACTACTTGCTTTGAAGACTGCATGGTGGACCTCGCTTAAATCGCAAAATGAATATTGCAATCAATGCAATCAGCGATCGCTCGAAGTAAAGAAGATAAAAATGAACGATTAAGATCACCACCTAAGAAACCACTAATTGATTCGAATAATGGTAAGGGGTGACGATCACGAAGCCAAATGAAAGTAAAAAATTAGGTGTCGCATGCGTCAGTTGATAACATAAATTATTCATTGGGTAATTTAGGGTGGTTGGAAGTAATGGAAATTGTCCCCCAATTATAAAAGCATTGTAAAAAATAACTTAATTGTTTCTAGCATTCTCTCATTTTTTTATCATCGATTATATTGCCAATAAATTTTAAATAGTAACCGGTAACTATGGAGGAAGAGCGCAAGTGCCAATAAACTCCGTCAGAAAATTGTTTTAATTGATAAATAATGATACCTGCACCGCCAAAATTAAGGGCGACTTTTTTTATTGTCCCTAATGTTCACGAATGTGCTTTACTTTTTCTGGTCGTTATCCCCATGTGGCGTTTAGTGGCTAAACGTCGATTTCAATTTATTAAAAATTAAGCAGGTAGTTATTGTGTAGGTGTATGGACTTTTTGCTTAGCTGACTCTCGGTAATTTGTTGCCAAGTCACGGCCGTAGCTACAATGAAAGTTCAAATAAAGCTTTCTAAATTACTAACTGAAACAATAAAAATATCGGCGTTTAGCGTTTAAGTTCGAGGGGTGAATACAGGAAATTTGAAGCGGAATGATTCGGTTCGCTAATTTTCTCACGGCCCTTAAAAAGTCATTGAGTTCGCATGTCATTAGGGAACGCAATTACCTAGGTACAACTTTGTTTTATGTATTTATTTCAAATTCAAAGGCGGTTAGAATATATCAGATTTAAAAACTGTTTACTCCATTACTATAAGCAATAAAAACAGAAAACTGGTCAAGGAGTAGAACAGGCAAAACGTGACTGGTTTAAAAAAATGTAAGATAATAAATTAACTGGCTGGATAAGAAACAAGTTATTTTATTTGAAGTCGGCCACCATCTTTTGAGCGTTGATTTTATAAACTTATATTAATATAATTAATAAAAATATACGTACGTCTAATACCCCAGTCCAACATTATGATTTACTACCATTCCCTTTACGTGATTATATTCACATTTTGCTGAAAAATCGAGCAAAAATCACTTTAGAACGTGCAAAATCGAATGAAGCGCGTAAGAAAAATTGGTCCCGTGACGATAAAAATGTAATTCCAAAATGCTTCTTCATTTTGTTACGACGGAATTGCGATGTGATAAGTGAAGAAATGTATAAACCGACGAACAAAGACACCCACCCTCGCAAAAGGCCGTATAACCACGGAATGACGTTCTCGCATCGCGTTGTTTGGTAGGTGAAGCATGCGCCAGAATCGTTAAAACCTTAATCGGCCTCTTAATCTTAAGAAGGTACGCGATTTAAATTGGTCATTCCAAAATTAGGATCTATCGCTAGGTAAAATTTAAATAGGTAAATGATTGTAAAACCGGATTAGGAGTAGGTAAATTGCGTGCGGCCGGGCGGTAAATTGGTGTCCGTAGCTCTTTCACAAATACGCTTTATAATTTATCGTTACACGAAAAAATTGTACTCCTCAAAGGTGTACTGCATAATTTATAATTGAGAAAGTTAACATGCAATGCTTTTCGTACCCCAATAGTACGATGGCGACATCTAGGCGTCCGAGCACCAAGTCCGCTATGAAAGGAAACATCTGCGTTTGATTTGAAACAGTTACTTACTTGTATTAGACGATGTCATTAGTATAGACAAGGGGCATTCATCGTCTTCTAATACATATTCCGTATCCGGAGTTCCTGACAAAGAGGTAACTTGAACTAGACACCATTGCGATGGATCTGCTTTATGTAACCCGTACTTATCGAGCATTTCTCGAACTACAATACCAGCAGTATCCCTGATTGACAAGAGTAGAGTTTTGTAGGGAACGTCCCGACATAACGCTTCACCATAGATTTTTAATGTTCCCCCTGAAACAAAAATGAAAGTCATTAAAGAACTTATACTCGCTATTTGTTATTTGCATAAGAAAGTTTACAAAAACGTTTCTGCAGTTTCATGCAACCAACCTCAGGGATCAGTAAAGACCTCTTTTGGTTTAATCCACATTAATGATAGATTTATATGTGCAATTTGCAAATGATAGCTGTAAATTACAGAACCACATACGTTAATCAATATGTCTTAAATAGAAAAGACCTTAAAATTGCTGAGAATACTTATGGATAGAGAACTAATAATTAGGAATGATGATATCCTTCCCATTATGGATGCACAGAGTGACTAAACTTTATCGTTAGTATGGGGTAACTCTTAAAATATAGAATATAAATAAATGTTACAAAGAAATTGACCCTTGCAGTCTCGATGTATTTTTTTACATAAACTTGATGTTGAAAACCAAACTGGCCTTGGGCAAAAGTTGCATTTTTCCAATTTTAGATAGAAGCCTATAACTTCTTTGTTTATACAGTATTAAAAATGAGCTGACATGCTACTCAGACGCTATTTTCAGCGCAAAGTTGTTTTTTTTTAATATAAAGTCTAGTTAAGTTGTTAGTTAGAACATGGACTAATTACACTATTTTAGTCTATGGTTAGAACAAGCATTTTCTTGCTTTTTATTCAGCATTAATAAAAACAAATTCGAATACTATAGCTGAGGCATATTTCAATCAATACCCAGTAAGATGATAACCAATCTGACCAATTATGGAGCATTTGGGAAGCCGAGACAACAAAAATTATACGATCCAAGATTCGGAGGAAATAACTATTGGTGTAATTGGAACCCTAGCAGCAAATCCCACTATATCAAGTCGCCAAATCAAAGCTGCATCCGGAATTCACACCTTACACAGTAGAAAACAACAACTGTTGCTGAATGATTTTGAGCAAACACTGCAATTTTATCATTGGCCATCTTCAACATTATTTTACAGGAACATTGTCTGGACAGATGAAGCCCATACCAGTAGTGCTGGAATCTTTGACGATAGCTGGTGGTCAGATGCCAATCCTCATCGAACCATGGATATTCAAGCATTGGGATTTTGGTTTAGTGTGTGATGTGCACTCTTTTGGATTTATGAGATCTGGCGAGGGAAACTCAACTCACAAAGATACTATGATAACATAAACCGGCTCGTCGTTGAGGACTTTCTAGATGATCTTCCCTCAGTAGAGAGAAATAGTATAGTAATGTTTCAACAAGACGATGCACCAACTCGAAAAAAGTTACGTAACTGTTGAGAACCCATTTACAAGATAGTTGGATCAGTAAGGCGGCTACCAGGTTCACTTGACTTACGCCGCTTTATTTCTTCTTTTGGAGACATTTGGGGACAAAGTGCGGAGAAATAAGTGTTCTTCAAGTAATTTCCAATTCTCCAATAAAATATGGGGTGTTCCATTTATAAATCGGAAGTTTGATACGCCACTGGAATATTGCGTGCCACTAGTGATCAGAAATATTTTAGAAGCATGGCGACGGTAATAACGGGCGATCAAAAAAGGATTGACGTCGAGTCGCCTTTGGAAGTTCAAGTTAAATATGATTTCCCAAGTAAACAAAAATTCCAAAGGCGACTCGACAGCAACTCTTTTTTGATCGCATAGTATTGTGCACAATTCTGCTCCGATACCTTTTATGATAAAGGAATTATGATCCGAGGGGTTTTAGATTCTACACTCTGTAGATGGGTGGAACTAGAACTGGTCCCCGAAATCACATGAAGGGCAAGAGGAAAATTCCGAAGATAGTGATCGATGTATTTGGAAAAAGGCTAATATGAGAGCCTAAGGTTAAAATGTTTGGGGCGTGACTTGATAAGATCTTGCCGTTCCTCCCACACGTCAAGGCGGATTGCAACAAAGTCATTACTGTGCAAAAAAAAGGTGTAACAAATATAGCAAATGAGTTCCTGGGTCAATGAAAATTCACCTCTCCATGATGTCGGCGCACCCATAGTCTAAGGCTAGGTCTCAATTTGTTAGAGACGGACGAACAGGAGCTCCTAGGAGCGACATAAAAAAAGTCAGAATTCCATGAAATTCGGTATGTTATTTATGTATTTATGCACCAGTATTTTCACGCGACTTTAAAAAAAAAATTATGTGCATTGACAAGTAAAATGAGGTCTTTTTCTAAGTAGCTAGGAGCGCCCGCCAGACCATCTTTGACGTTTTGTCATTCATGGGGTCCACTCGCCCTCTAAAATTGCGTACATGGGGTAATGATTGACGGGCGAAGAGCGGGGGGTGGGGGGGTAGGGTGGAGGGGGGGGGGTGTACTAGCCAAGTTCTGCCTTCCGGGTACCGACTGTGTAGCTCAGTGGTAGAGATAGCCAAAGGTCGGGTGTTCAAACCTGGGCTGAGGTAATTTTCATCTGTGGCACAGATGGGAATTTCCTTAAATCAGTTTCAAGTATTCTGCCTGCTACTCGTGATTAGGTTTTCCCAATTCGTAATGTACAGTAGTACAATATAGAATGCCTTAAGACCTTCTGCCAGGGCACCTCTAAAAAGCATTATGCGGGTCACTCTGTAATGGGTAAAAGCCTGTTGAGGGCTCAGAACAAAAGGGACAATAAATAAATAAATAACAATTTGTTCCAGATACAGTCAGTGCTAAATTAACTGGCCCTAGCACACTTTCAGACCCGTATAGCCCGTATAGCATCACATATGATAAAAAGAATAGAAATTCTGATAACAAATTCAGATTCTCCGAAAAAAGTGCCCGTAGATGGTGCTAACGGGAATGGTCCATTTCTGACGGTTTAAGCTTGAAAGATATAATGAAAACGAAATTTTACATTTTCAGTTTTTCGGTTTCGGTCACATTTTTCAAAAATTTCAAATGCGTTTTTTTAGTCACAAAAAGGGACAATTTTGTCCCAATTTAACCTACATTGTATCTCTCTTGTATTTTTAATTAATTATAATTAATGAGAGAATTAACAAAATCCTTTTTAATTTTTTTTTATTGTCTTACCTAAAACAAATCTAAAATCTAATGAAATCCGTGATTATTTACTACTGACAATGATTTCCAACGATTTCTGTCGATTTCTTGTGACTGCCGATAAACTACCAAAAATGTACAGGTACATGATGGTCAAAGATTAACCTCATAGTCTCGATGTATTTTGTTTGAGATAAACTCAATGTTGAAGACGAAACTGACTTAGGTACAGTCTTTTGTTTTTGAGTTACAGGCAAAAATTGCATGATAAGAGCCTATAATTTTTTTGTTTATTAAGTTATTAAAATGTATTTATCACAAAAGTTTCTTTGTAACGATTGTTGCATAATCTGCGGTGTTCAAAATAAGTATACCTGACCAGGAAAAAAAGTGTTCGGATGTAATCTCATTTTTGTAAATGGAACACCCTGTATATTATAATCTGTAAACTTACCACATTAAATTCTCTTTTCAAAAGTAGCACACCAGGGATGATATAAAAAAAGATTCAAGAGAAAGAAAAAATTCAAAAAGGTTAAAAAAGATTTTAAATAAGATTAAATAATAATATAAAAACCTTCATCTTTGAAATTTTTGAATTTTTTTAATGCTGGGTGGGTATATTTTATTATGCAACGAGAACCTTGACAAACTACACAACTGGTTCAGCAACAATTCTCTGGTATTGAATGGAGGGAAGACTAATTTTGTTAGATTTCATAACTTCCAAAAACCAACAAATATATTGACTTTAAAAATACAGGGTGAAGAGGTGCAGCATGTACACGAAACCAAATTTTTGGGACTACATATTGACTACAATATAAATTGGAAAAAGCACTGTGAAAAGCTGGCTGCTAGGCTGAGCTCCTTAAATTATCTGTTTAGAAATTTAAAAAATGTTATAACGCTCGCGCAATTAATAAACATTTACCATGCTCTGGTGGGCACTATCCTTCGATACGGGATATGTTTGTGGGGCACATCTACTCACTCTCACGAAGTTCTTGTTGCACAAAAACGTATTATTAGGACGATTGCGAATGTTCCAAAAATTCATACATGCAGGAATCTTTTCAAACAATTCAACATTTTATCTCTAACCAACTTATACATTTTAGAAACATGCAAACTAATTTTCAGATACTCACATACATTAAATAAAAACAAAGACATTCATAATCATAATCTCCGCGACAACGACTTTTACAGAATTCCGCACACCAAATATAACATTGGCTTGAGCTCACCCTTTGTACTGGGAGTAAAAATGTTTAACAAATTACCTGAACAAATTAAATGCTGCAATACACAAAATAACTTTAATAAGAGATTACTTCTATACTTAAATAATCACTATTTTTACAATATCAAAGAGTTCCTTGAACATGCTTAACTGTGATATTATTTGTCTGTTAGTAATTATATGTGTATTTGACATGTCCTATACCTACCACGGTCCATGGAATAAAAATATTATTATTATTATATTATTATATTATTTTGGAAAAGAAACTGATCTCTTTTTATATTAAAATATACAGGGTGTTCCGTTTAAAAAATTAGGTTGGGTCCGATTACTTTTTTACCTGAACCACCTATAGTTTAAGAGTTACTCCATACTAACGCCCGAATATGTACTTCATATACTGAGACGCCACTCGACTTTATTGACTGTTGGAATTGGAAGTTGGATTGTTTTGGAATTTTCAAAAACTAATATCGGATTCGCTAATTTCACGTTAAAAACAAAAATAAGAACTCTTTCGCATATTCGTATACGAGCGTGCGTGAAGTCAAAATTAAAAAAAAATATTTACAAAATCAAAACGGGATTCCTAGAAACCTAGGTCCATCCTTCTATTATCTGTTATGATTACTGAGCAAAAATTAAACAAGACATTTTAAACCCTCGGTTTATTTGGAAAAAATGCTTGTCTTATTTTTTTAATTAAAAAAGTGCTCATGTTTGCCTTTTGCCCGTGTCCCGTCCTTTTGCATGCTACTACTAATTTGTGTCAAACCTTGTCTACATTTGTCCCCAATAAAGCTCAATAATTTACTACGATATTTTAGTTTTAAAAATGCAGTTTATGTGCTCAGGAATTGTACGCAATTTATACTTGTTGACATAGCTACTTAATTGGCACATACATATACTACATAAAAAACAGTTTTAGGTTGCAGTCTCCAAAAACGGAATAGAGGTTTTTTTTTTTGAAAAATGAAATTTCTACATAAAAATGGCTGGCAAAATTTCTCAAACCTTTTGATGTGCCAGACAGACTATGTAGGACATATATTTACATCAACGTTAGCATCGCTACCGGTAGACGAATGAAGCAACTATTTTCTTTCGTTACCAAAAAGTGCCAAGTAAAAACACTGAAACAATGATGGGGCATCGTATGTTTCTATCGCGCTATACTTACGGGTAATAATAGCCGGAATGGGAATGGCCCTATACCTATCAAATGAGAAATAAACCAAATTAATAAAAACAAATTCGAAGTTTCTCACACGGACGGGCGAACCAGCAACACGAGTAATAAAGGGTTCTGATGTTTGAAAATTGCACACAATTTAATCATGCTACCATTGAATAATAATTCAGATTTATTATTCAATGATGCTACATTGCTACCAGCTGCAGTTTCAAAGGCTATACCCTCCAGAGCAACATGACGTAGCAACCAGGTACTCATATTTAATAAAGCAATGTCAATAAATTTAGAACACTATAGATAACATAAAGATAGTGAGTAATAGACGATAGTTGCAACAAAGTGGTTCATATGCCATATTTAGATTTATAGTCAATTAAAAGTTAGGTTGCCTAACAGTTCATTAAGCGCCGTGATTTCTATATCAGCTCTTTATAATTATTCAATAACGTGCAATTATAAATTATATAAATGACGTGTATTAAATAGAATACACAACGGGTAGGTATACAAAGAAACAAAAAATTCAAGAAATATAGGAACAACAGTTTCATGGTACGAAGTAACATGCTTGTAATGAATCGCACGGAATAAGTATTTCCTTGAAGAATTTAATTGCTATTTGTAATTAACAAAATTATTCATTTTTCACACGATTTGCTGATGTAATTTTTAAATATTTGTACTACCGTCTTACACAAAGGAAGATCGGTATAATGTTTAACTATTAAAAAACAATTTATTTCGAGTTACAAGTACCTACGCTACTTTTTGAAATGAATCTTTTATTAATGAGGGTTAACCTTAACAGTTCATTTTGTTTAACAGGTCAATGTTACTTAAGTATGAATTGTGCACGGAAAAAACGCATTAGTACTTGGCTTTTCTGTAAGAAATGAACAAAAGCTTGCGTTTTGCTAGTTATCGAACATGTTAAAAAAAGTAGTCTCGTTTTTGGCGGAAATGGTTTCCATTCTTCATCCGGACTCCAATCCAAATCCGCGATCGTTCTCCCCTTCACCTACGTAAGTATACAATACCCACGCATATAATCAGATTGTAACCATTTTTAGACTGTTAAATTAAAAGTAAAATTATTTAACGTCTTTGTCTTTTATTGTAATTTACGCTCTTGTAACATTTTAACGTCTATTTCACTATTTCAATGTCAATCTCGACTTACTCGGCTACTCCCGTATTAATAAGCTAATCGCACTTCACATCGGTCTTTAGTTCATCGAAAAAAAGGCCTAATAAAACAAAATTCACAGTTATGCTAGCTAAAATGTGCACATGCGCAGAACAATTGTTTTTGTTTTACTGAAAGATTGCCCTTGGCAGTAGACCCTAACAATACAGTTACAAAAATACACATAGTATGAACAGAATCAACTTTTTTTATTGGTTGAACGATTGATTTGCCTGAAAAATTCCTGTCCCCGACAAAAGTGTAAAAAAACCGTTTATTTATGGACTTCCAGATATGTTAAGAATAGATACCTGGACCGTAACAGAATCGGAACCGGAAACCGTTATTTTTAGAAGCGGAATAGTTATATTGCTGGAAAACAATTTTTTCTCGCTTTCAGTAGTTGATGGTTGTTTAATAGTAAATTTATATAAGTGCTCGAAGACCACAATGTTACTTTGGATAACACAAATTCTTAAAACCACTAACGCCTTTTAATTTTTATCGATTTTTGTATTTTGGGCGAATAGTTTCTGAGTACGGTCCTGTCGAGTTGTTTGCGTATAAAGACTTGGGGCGTGTTTTGAGGTATCTAGACATTCTGGTGATTTCATTGGGTTCCAGAAGTTTGGTAGAATAGATTCGAATGGTCGATGGGAGTTGGTCCGAGGTATCCGTGGGGCAGTACGCGTGAAACCGCGATAAGGACACGCTGGAAGGAAGCCACGAGAGCGTCTGAATGAAGCGTAAAGAGATGTGAAGAGAACGTGCAGGAGCAAGGGTGAGATAGGTTGGAAGCAGGGATGGCGAGGAGGGATAATGAAGAACGCTTCACAGAGGCGTGAATGAATTATGCGCGAAGAAAAGGTGAAGCATGTGTTTGAAAGAGAAGTGGAAAAAGATGCAAAAATGACCTGAAGAATGATGAATTTGGGGCACACCTTGCTCCACAATTTTTGACCCAGAATTACATCATTACAAAAGAAAACTGTGGTGAGAATAAAACTATAGTTTGCGAGCGTTTTCGTCTTCAAAAAATCTCTACTTTAATTTTCCAAAATAATAACCATTCCTCCTGGGACTACAGCCCCCACATTCTTGCAAAGAGGGCTAGCCAATGAACTGGCATAAGGTATGTTCCATACAGTGTCGGCGCCAACAGTCGACACCATTCGTACTTCAAAAATTAAGACAGAACAAATTGCAGTCAGTTTTCTACGGATAGCGGGATCTGAAGGTAGGGTAATAAGGAATTCGATGCACATCGAAAATAAGGCACCCTATATCAATTATAACTAGCTAACTAAGATGCAAATTGGAAACAATTAAATATTTTATGTAAATGGTAGGAGTTTAAAAGATTCGTTAGAATACAGGAACCATTTACTTTCCTAGAAATTTACCGACGCCCTTTCTCCTCCATCAGTCTTGGTATTTATGACAAATCACAATTCTCTACTTCAACCGAACTTCTCGTCTATTTGCTTTTTCTTTTTTTTTTTGCAAAACGATCCTACCTGTATCTGGACCGCCGTCTTTCGATCGAAACTGCTGCAATTTCCGCTCCAATATCTGCTGCCTTCGCCGCCTCATGACCGCCTCGGGATTCGAAATAGATCTCGTGAACGACGTTTCCGGTAATTCTGAAGCAAGCACCAATCAATTAATAGATCGGAGGTGTATTGACGCGTTAAACGAAGCAGGCAGCAACGCTCGTTAACGTGTTCCAAATTACAACTTTCATTTATTTAAGTTAGAAACCATGAAAAGTATTACGAGATATCATTACATTGTTAAATTATAATCTAAGCGAACTCTTTCTTTCATTCATTTCGTGCCTGCTTAATTGTTACCTGTGTATAATTTTTCCGCGACCCCGTCGTTTTTGTTCTTCCGCTGGCCATTTTCACTTTTCATCCTTTGTAACTTTTCCTGCTTTTTTAGCTGCTTCTTTTCGCGTTTTGATAATTTTCTTCTAAAACTAGCGTTCGAGTCGTGGGATTCAATGGAGTTATTCTGCAAGGTGAACGATTGGCTAAGTAATGGAAACGTGACAGTTTCTCGAAACGTTACCGTTTTTTCGTCGATGTTTTTCAGCAGGAATCGCCCTTCCCGGTCGTCAACGTGCCAATTTAATTGAACGAGTAGTGGTTTTTCGTCGGGGGCCATTCGCCGTTCGGAACAGTTTTCGTGCAATTCGTATAAGGCGTAAGAAGGCACTGATAGCATACGCATATCGGGTCTAAATTTTTCTATTAAGGTTCCTATCACATCTTCAACGGTAGCGTCGGATGCTACCCGTATACATTTTGTTGCAACTTTTTGGCCCGAGTCTTGAAAATAAAAGCGCATCACACCGTGGAATTCCAAATCCTGGAACAAAAACATACATTTAAAAAAATCCAGAAATTTGTTTGAAGGAGAATAAGTAAATCATAAATACCAACGTTGAAATAATGCACACGTGTAGATAAAATCTATTCCTTTCGCTAGCCCTGTAAAAACTAATAGGTACGGTGCAAATAAAAACCGTTAATAAATAATCGATTATAATCGTTTATCCGTGATCAAGTTATCAATTAAATTATTATAAGATGAAAAGTTATCGATAATTTGTTGCCCAAGAAGAAACATATACGAAGTCTTTAAGCGGCCCCTACACGATCAATATTTACGTCAATATATTGTACAATATTTTGTGCAATACTATTATTTGCCCAACCCACACGGTGCAATATTATTGTTCAATAAATTAGTTCGCAGGGTGATATTTGTGCAGTCAACATTTGGAATAATAAGAAGACAGTAAGTCGTGTGGCTATAGCTTTAGTTATAGCTTGAAAAAAAAAGGAAAAAAAAGAAGTGCAGGTGGATGGAGGAATGGTTTAAAAAAAGAAATAAGTACACTCATGACAATCTGTTAAATGAACTAAGAATTAATGAACCAAGTGATACACCTCGATACATTCTAAAATGAACTTTCTTTCTTCATCTTTCCCCTTATTTGTAGCCATGGTCGATGTTTATTCCTACTCTGTTAACACAGAACTGAACATTGCACAATATTACCAACAGACGCACCAATATTTACTAGATTGCACAATAAAAATCAAACAGTTTTTGATTGACTCAATATATTACGCAATCTTTCAATGTGCCCTACAGACGCTCAATACTATTGTACAATGTAAATTCTTGTGCAATATATTGACGTAAATATTGATCGTGTATGGACCGCTTTAGTGCTGATATCTAAATCAGTCAGGTAAACAGCTGGGAGAACACAATTCTTGCACGTATGTAGTATTTTTAACAAAAACACGACAAAAATTATTGCTTGAGCTAGAGGCGTAGCTAAGGTAGGGCTGGTAGGGCGCGTGCCCTTTGCCGCTCAAAGGGGGACGCTAAAATCGCCAATTATTAAGTTTAAAAAATTGAGAAGATATCACAACAATCGACATCATATCAAACAATCTAACAGAATCAGTGGTGTGCTCAAGTGGTGCCGATGAAGGACGCATTTGTTCGTTCGAATTCGACACTTCGTGTGAAGTTTATTTTGTGAGGTGAGTCTACTTTAACTAATCCCGACCGACCGATCTTCATACTTTTGTATTTGAGAGCTACAATAATGGGACAAAGGTTAGGTATGAGAACCTAGCTCAGTAAGTTAGTATAGAGCGCGAAGAAACGGAAAAACTGATTTCGTAAATATCATCGATATGTTTGCGTCGCAGAAGCTGAGGAAGGTAAAATTAGTGTAACGCCTTCACGGAGATATTACGCCCCTGGCTTGGCCTACTTTTTGCAATTACAACAGATGATACGAATGAGAGTAGAAACACAAAAAAATGTGCATCAACCGTGACCGGTGCAATTTTATAACTTGCAATAAATGTTAACGAAGCAAGATATTTTTATTGCATTCCGTACACATTATGTTTAGGAGTGACACATATAAACCATAACAAAAAGTTTTACTTTGGTCTTGGGAATATTAACAGCTTTACGATTGATCTATGGTGTGTCCTAAAAGCTTCTTTACAAGTGAGACAGTGTTGGAAAAACCCACCATAACAGGTAACAGGTCAGATGACAAAGTGTTCCTGTGCGGTGGAGGTACCCGTCTCTGGGTGGCGGATAGGGGGACGCCCATACAACTGAATCGGCTAGCAGCTAGCAGGGAATGCGAGAACCAGTGGACCTTGGACTGGTTGGAGAGGACTTATTAGACTCTGGGATACCGCGTCTCTGAAAGTTCGGAGGCCTGTCCCTAGCGTAACCAAGGTGATGGCTGTGTTATACGAGCTCCCGAATGACACGGCCGCCATCTTGAAGCGCCTCCAGAGGCAAAAATCCTGGTTTCAGGGGAGTATATGGATGGTGTCGATAAGGCATCCTATCAGGCACTCCAGCGGCAGAACGTTTGTGACGAAAGCGAGTGGCCCATAGTGCCATTGCGACCGAGAGGGCTCAATGATTATCTTTATTATAAGTCTTACCTATCTAATGGCTGATTTATTTCAGGGATCTCCTAGCTTTAAGACTTCAGCTGAAAGATGACAGAGGACGGAGCAGGCACTTGGTGGTCTGCTCAGCCTATCTCCCGTACGACTCGGAAGAGCCTCCACCAACCAAAGAGCTGGCTGAGTACTGTCGAAATAGTGGGCTCCTTCTTGTGGTTACTTGTGATGCAAACGCACACCATCTTGCGTGGGGTAGCACGGACACGAAGTCGAGAGGAGACCACCTTCTGGAGTACTTGCAAAAAACTGATTTGAATGTTTTAAATCAGGGAGACGCTCCTACCTTCGCCACAGCGCGAAGTCAGGAGGTTGTTGATTTGACATTGGGACTCCTTTTGGCAGACTGTTCTAAGTGTAGTGCAGTATTTATTAAAATTTTGCGGGGAGTGGGGGTGGGCCAATAGTATATCTTTTGCAAATGGGCTTTGAGCATTATACAATACGTTTTGCATTAAACAAAAAAGTCCAATGAGACACCCTGTATACTCAGATATTCAATCAATAATGGATGTGCGAGCGTAAATAATAGACATAATGAGCAAATACTAAATAACTGCAAAGAATGTTGTTTTAATTATTAGATTGGTCGTGATGCTGTTTGCACGCATTGCCGGCAAGAAAACGCGAGGGAAATCTAGCCTTCCTTTAGAAAACCTACCTATACAATTAAGAATGACCTCGCTATCATTAGAAATACGTAAAACAATATAATACGAATTCAACAACGGATTTGATTACTGTAATTTACCAAATTGTAGATTTTTTATCACGTTTTTATTGCCAAATAAAGTTCTTAAATAAACCGTAATACCATTGTATTTATAAATACAATGGTAATACGTACCAGATCGGAAGCTCCGATCCTTCGGTTTTGAGAGACCCAACCCAATAAGACCCCTCGTTTCTAAAATATTTCTGGTCACCACTGACGTGCTGTATTCCAGTGGCGTGTCAAACTTAGGTTTTATTTTAATCGAGATTTTAATGTTTAACAGTACAGTAAAAATGTTGTAGTTTCACCTATCCAGAGGTACATAGAGGTAAATGTTTAAGGGGGTGCTATTTGAAATTTTTTAAAAATATGACATTTGCGAAGGGCAATCAAAAATTTTCGATAAAGTGCTTAAACAATTTATGTGAATGTGACAAGAGATTTTGACCTGTGTCTCAATTTAAAACTTAACAATCAGTGCGATTTTGTTTCTCTGAAAAAGCGGTCAAATGGAAAAAATCCTTAAAGGTAAGGGTATAATAAATTGCTGACAGAACAGCTTCCTAGCTCAAACCAAAAATCATGTCTTTGAATATGGTGTGTAGAGAAAATACGTTTCCCACGAAGTTGATTATTTTTCGATGTAGAATAAAAAAATTCAATAAAAGGTATAGGTCTCTATTTGAAAAAATTAAGTTTCCTTTCACTAAACTTAACCCTAAAGGACAATTATGTGAACATGTGCATAGCATGCATCATTAAATGAGTTCATACATATGAAGAATATTTTATAAAAAGCATTTTTTGATTTCCCCGATAGTTTACGCAATAATCTCAAGATTTACCCTTTATTCAGTTAATAATTCTAATTAGTTCGCGATAATCGATAATTTTTATTTTATGAACCGTTCTCTCGTAAACGCCTCGGTCCGGGCCTCACGTTGGTGCGACAATTCACGCGCATTTTTTATTTTTGTCTGTGTTTATTCCTAATAATTCATTTAATGTCTATAGTCAACGTTACTCGTATTTGAATGAATAACCACTCGAAAACTACGTTCGTTAATAAAAAATGTGGATTACCTACTATTTGAAAAAAAAGTTCTATGATGTCACGGCGCTAAAGACTCAGATATAAAAAAAAAACGTTTTTGACAGTTTTACATCCTTTATTTATTATTATCTATTTATTTAAAATATTTTAGTTTTTTAACTTGGATATTTTTTGTCTTAAAACCTGGCACAATTTTTGTAGGTTATATACAGAAAAATAAGGTCTTTCGAATAACGTAATAAACATTTTGGTATTTAAAAAAAAGTTCGATGTCATTGCGACGCTCTAAAACTTTTTCCAAAGATCCGGCCGGTTATTTTTCGTTTCCGTAATCCGTATACCTAATATACATATCCAAAATGTGAACAAAATCCACCCAGCCGTGACCACGGAAAATTCGTATTTTTTAAAAGTCGCGTAAAGTGATCTAAAACAGTGGTCCCATCATAAAATCTATTGTTGTGTACAATATACAGAATTTGTATGGTTTATCGTTTACGTCAATATTTCAGCGGATTTAAATGGATCGATTCGAGTGTTACGGCAACCCATATTTCGAGAAATTATAACCATCCATGTTAAAACAGAATCACTACATTTATAGTCTTATTAGTCAATAAGCTTATGAATAATTACTTACACAGAAAGTCATTAAAAATTAATTAAAAATGTGCAAAATGTTGGACGCGAGGGGTTAACTTCCCATGCCCCAAGTAAATGGTCTTAATTGACTTTTACTTTTACCTTACTACTTTTTCCATCGTGGTAACGGTAGGTGACTAGGTCACTGATTTTAGTTAGAAGATGCTGTGATTGTGATGTAGGTGATTTATCAAATGACCACCGCTATTGAAAAACAATTGTATCGGTAAATATAAACTTGCAAAATCCCACGACGATTTACAAAATAAAAACGGTCGGAAATGGATTCAAAATTTAAATAAAGATCGTCTCGCATCAACGAAACGAAATAGCATTTATGCATTCATTCCTCGCAACTAAGCTTCCTTTCATACACATACTGTGTGTGCTTTGAGGATGCTTAGCACGGCGATCAAAGAACGTCAGATACGGGTGTTTA